CACATACCAACAAGTTGTGAAGAAGTACCATGACAACAAGGTTGGGCCGCGATACTTCCAAGTTGGGGATGAAGTCCTACGAAGAAGAGAAGCAAGTAGACCCGGCGACGGAGGGAAGCTAGCAAAAAACTGGGAAGGCCCGTATAGGGTTAGAGCCATCATTCGCCCGGGGACATACCGGTTAGAAACTCTTGAAGGGTATCGGTAGAAAGAACCTGGAACTCCCATCATCTTCGCAAGTTCTACAAATGATTGTAATACTAGGTAAGGCCTACTTTATTATCAATCAAACCGATGATGTTCAATACTCTATTTGGTAGCGGCAGGATTGATAGGTCGAACCTATCCTAGGAGGGCTTCCTGGGTGGATCGAATCCACTTGGCTAAGCCAACTGAGACACAGGCCCAGACCTGGCACGCTGGTTACTACACCGGTCTTGCTCAGTATAATAGAAAAAATATCAAAACCCGGAAGAGGGGCCCGGAAGAGGGTATGCCTGCAAGAGGGCTGGACCTGGAAGAGGGTTCGAACCGTACTTACACGGGCCCATGAGGTTTGACTGGTGTCAGGGAATCAGCCGGCGCCGTCAAATTGATTGGGGACTAAAAAGATGCCCATTAAAAGAAATAGAAGGGGATCGTCCATCGTGGCGCATCCTATATCCCCCTTCTCAGGGAAGACTTGAACGGGGGGTGAGCTAAGGCCTTCCCGGGATGGTAGAAATCAAAGGGCCATTAAAAGACTTAATCATCCGGAAGAGGGGGCTCTGGAAGAAGGGTGCATTTGAACCTTGGAGAGGGTTCGAAACCATTCGACATGGTTAAATCTCCAGTATTCTTACCGGTTAAGGATACTTCAAGAATTTCTAGGTTACAGGTGTTTCCATCTACAACCTACCGATAAAAAAAAAAGAATACCCCGGTCGGGTATGGGCACGACAGAACTTCGAAAGTTCTACGTCCGTCGGAAGGCAAGGCAGTAAGAATACCCCGGTCGAGTATGGGCACGACAGAACTTCGAAAGTTCTACGTCCGTCGGAAGGCAAGGCAGTAAGAATACCCCGGTCGAGTATGGGCACGACAGAACTTCGAAAGTTCTACGTCCGTCGGAAGGCAAGGCAGTTGACCGGTCAAACCATGGCGTGGGAATTCACCGGTCAAAGTAAATTTTGCCAAAAAAATTGGTGAAGTTATCCAAAAGGCAAAAGTGAAGTTCGGCCGGTCAAACTTACTTGAGCTAATCCTTCAGATGAAGTGATCAAAGAGAATTTTGAAGTTCCACCGGTCGAAAACAATTGAGAAGTGGTCTAACCTATGTACCGGTATGAAGATCAAAAAAAAAAATCAACAAGCAATCAGACGTGGAAGATTAACCGATACGAAAAGAAAACATGGAATTCAAACCAAATAAGAATGTTAAATGTTTTACATTTACACCGGGCATTCCCGGGGAAATGAGTTTTAAGTTTACAAAGCAACCGGTCAAGGCCGGGGAGTTCTTAGTCTAGGGGGAAGGGGGGAGTAGGCTCTTCCTCCGGGATGGATACCAGGCCGTAAGAAGCTGCGGAGAACTCTGGGTCTCTTTTCTTCAAGATCCGATGGCAGGCAGCCCGGTCCTTCTTCTGACCACTCTTGAATCCGAAGGACCCAATAGCGGTAATCATCTTCTTTCCTTCAGGCTCCCGGTACAAGAGCCTGAAGGATTCCATGGTCGCTTCCGGGCTAGCCGTCATCACCCGGGCGGCCTCAGCCTTATTCTCTTCCACCCAGGCAGCTGCGCGCCTGGGGAAGGTTTCTTCCTTCTTCGCCACTTCCCTCTTGGCTTCAGAGACTTCGTCCGGAAGCCGGCCATTCTCCTCCTTCAGTTGGGAGATCTCAGTCTTCATTGCCCCGACCAGCCCAGACAGCCGGATCAGCTCTTCAGCCTGGCTCCTCAGGATGAGTGACATCTCTTCCTTCTCCTTCTTCAGCCGGTCGACTTCAGAAGGGGAACTCATCCCCAACCGGTCCACTGTTTGTGGCCCGATCTCCCCCGCCTGCACAAAAACGGAACAGACCGGTAAGTTTCTCGATAAAAAAAAACAATAAAGACGGGGATGGCATCAAGACTTACCTCCTTCAGCCTTAGCCCCAGATTGATGAAGGCCTCCTCGATAGTCTGGCCGGCCGGCTCAGGATCTGACCTTGCCCTTTTCTTGGCGTAGGAAGGGTGCGTGGTCGCCACCTTCTTCACCCGGCGACTGGCCTTCTCCTTCTCCTTCCCCTTAGACCGGTCGTCTTGGGGCTCATCCTCATCCAGGATTTCCACGGTCTCTGGATTGACCGGGAAAGTCCTGGCAGGATTGGCTTGGGAGCCCCCGGTCTCCCCGGCTGGTTGGTCCTCGGGGATAGCGAACTCTTCAAACTCCATATCTGCAAAACGAACCAAAAACATTAAGTACAAATAGTTTGCCCGGTCAAACTACGAAACACAAGAAAAAGGATAAATACCTGGGTGGTTCTGGCCCTCGGCCTCTGCAGTGTTGCCCGGGGAGGGTACCCCGTGCCCCGTGCCCCGCTGCTTCCTGGGCCTGGGAGGTACCCTCACCACCCGACTCTACCCTCCAAACCCAGCTGCCTTGATGGAAGATCCTCCCGGTTTGAGGATCCCCGCGCATGAGGATCTCGAGGTTGGCTTCCAAGTCTGGGGAGGAGGCCGGTGCAGCGTACTCTTGGTCGAGCAGATGGTCGTTCCACTTCAGACCGGCCAGAGGAGTGAAGAAGGGGGGAAATTCGATAAAAACAAATTTTTCCTTCCATCCCCGGTTACTCTGGGGGACTTCGGAAATGAACTTCCTACCGGTGCGGGCTTTGAAGAATACAAA